CATTTGCTGTTATGTTAAACTTATATTAAAGTTTTTCTTCATTACCCATTCAAGCCGTCTCCAACCATTATTAGTCTCAAAGTGGGTTCCTCGTCATCGAATTTATGATAAATGTCTATTGTATTTAGTTTTATTTTGATGCAAATGATTCATAAGTGTCAGTTTAATAATTAAAGGCAAAGTAAACAGGGCATCTGCCCAGGGTCCCAAGAAGTTAAAAATAGAAATAAAATTAGATGAAAGTAAAAAAATATTAATTAAAATATCCATTTTATTACAGTAAATAGGTTAGAACTTTTCAAGTCTATGAATGCCATTGCTTTTGAGTCTAATATTTTAAATTTGTTTCAGAATTGACCCTCATTATGTAATATCTGCTGGTTGTCTTACACATTATATTTTTCATTATATTCTATCCATGTATGCAGATTCAGCATTAAGGTGAATAATATTGTGTATGGTTTCTTAGTTTTATTTATTTTTACCCCACTTAGATCTTTCAAAAACAATTCATGAAATTTGGATGAAGTAGATTGTATGGATAGTGGCATACAATACAAAAACTATAAAAGTACCAAAAGGGCTCCTAAAATGACCTCTTGCCCTGGGCCCCTTTTCCTAAGTTTGGCTCTGAATAACTAAACCAGTGTAAGTAAGAGTATTTGTGATTAATGTATATTGTATTTATTTGTATTCTTACGCACATGATTCAGAAATGTCAGACAAGTAACTAAACCAGTGTAAGTAAAAGTATTTATGATTAATGTATATTGTATCTGTTTGTATTCTTACGCACATGATTCAGAAGTGGCAAATTAGTATTGAGATATAAGTTAATATGTGTGATAGTGTTTATGAAACAATTAAATCAATCGGTATGAAAATTTGTACTTGTACCGTTTTGTACTCATCACAGAGGAAACCCCAGTTTTCTGTCCAGTTTTGTCTTGCTGTTTCTTCTTTTACAACCCGATCTTTCCTGTATCGGCAAACAAGATTTAAGAATAAAAATATAAACTGTGTAAATTTACAAGTTATAAAATTGAAAGTTACATGCAGTATCTTGGAAGATACCTCTTCTCCGGGTGATCACTCATTTTTGATATTTTTTGTTTGTTTGTTTCAGCCCTTATGAAAAATATACGTAGTGCAGATAAAAGTTTTATTCACATTGGTAAAATAGCATAAAAAAGGTTTTGTAGACTTCACGTAAGTCCCTTACAATATTATTACTAGAGAAAATATTATATGTAACTTTCAGTCTTTTAGGGTGAGTACTCATACTTGTATTAAGTAATTCATTTGGACTATCACCACGTTTTTTCTTCCTTTTCCTTTTAGTTTTTGTAATGAACAAGCTTTTGGCTCAATTGCCTAAGCCTTATACATTTGCGAGACGTTTAGTGAACAACAGGATCTAACGAATTGTTCTGTTAGATCCTGTTGTTTACTAAACGTCTCGCACCTGTAGAAGGCTTAGGCAATTGAGCCAAAAGCTTGTACATTAAAAAACTAACAAAAAACGGGGCGATAGTCCAAATAAATACTTGATACAAAAATATGATATATTTCTCGCCTTCAATTTTTGTCACTTAACTCAATCAAACTACCATAACAATCCTTTTTTTTTCCTGTGTTACATATTGCATCACTTCTATATAATTAGTTGGAAACCAATCGTATATTGTTATTATTATTATCATAGGTCTAACGTGAAGTATATTACATCTAATGACAGGACATCAATTTTAATGATATGCCTATTATAATTTTTGTTAAGTGCACGAAAATTATAGCCGAAGTTGACTTAAATAGTGAACAGATCAAATTATTATTTGCTTCGGCAGTTAATTTACAGTAAAAACAACATTTCATCGAAGATACTTAGTTAGGCCTAAGATTTAAACTGCTGAAATTTTGAAAATCTGTTTCGCGATGGGCCATATATATGAACGTTTAGTTGTTTTAATTTCACAAATATGTGCTACCATGCCTCTGACGTTGGTAATTTGTTATGCATTTTAACATTTTCTTTTCCTTCACCCATAACGAATAAGTTGGCAAGTCAGTTTTAGCATGCGTAGTTACAATAACAGGACTTGTCAAAAGGTTGTGTACAACATTGTTATCTAATCAACAGTATTGCAAATCCTCACCAGTTATTATATAACAGCTAAAGATACTGTTATATCATCGGAGAAAAAAAATCAGCTAAAAAAGCCGCTGTCATACGAAAAAAAAAACGTATACTACGAAAAATGGCTAATGGGAAATAGATGTTTTAATATTCACAACGTTTCGGGCTGGGACGCCTCCTTCCTCTGGTGATTTTAAAACTGTAAGGGAATAGAGTAATAGATATCACAAGGATTATCAAACATAGAACTTTAAATGTTTTTTTTTGTTGTACAAAACTTGAAGATACCTTTTATATGCAGAAACATCTGTTAGCTGAGTTCTTGCACAGATCTTAAAATATAA